ATCTTGATGTATTAGCAGAGTTTTAAGAGGAAGTCTTATATGTTTACACATGCTCCCTCAGTTGGTTGAATGAGTGGTTCTGCTAAGGCAGAAGAACAATACTGCAGGAACAACACACATTCAGACTGTAAGAAGTTCTCTCTTTCTTAGAGCTTCTATCATGTTCAAAGGTGGAACATATATGGAGCCTAAACTACCTGACCATTTTTTTGACATAACCATATATACACACCACAGATTCCTAGTCTTTTCCTGCACTGTGACTTGCAAATGATATAGTAGCCTGTAAAGTAGAGGCACTTATCCCAAAAGTTGGCCAGAAGAGGGAAAAGTATTTGGTAGGGATGGCACCAAAATGCAACCTTTGTGCTTTCTCTCTCACACAGATACTGTATAGCCGGATGCAAAGACGCACACCGAGTTTTAGGTTGTGGGTGGGTTGTGCTTTTTCTTTTTGCCTCGGCATGATTTGCAGATGCAGCAGATAATACATGGAGATGCCACAAGCAGCAAAGGAGATGTCACCAATGCTATGATGCCCAGACCCACCAGGATGCCCACAACCTGAAAAACAAAAGAAAATTATGATATTTAACAAAACAGGAAATAAAGTGAATTTTATGTGCAAATCACAAGCCAAACAAATGCAGTTGGTCTAAGTACAGACAGTCAAAAAGTATGAGGCTGAATTGATTACATCTTCACTGGTTAGTCTAAGATGTGTAGATTAAACCAACAAGCAAGTGAACGGATGCTCAATTTTAATTCCAGAAATACAGCCACATGCCTGCAGTGGTCCAAGCCAGAAGCTGGGGGGCACTAGAGCACACCTCCCTACTCGGCTGGAGCAAACAACTTGGGCCAAGGCTAGCCCACCCACCCTGCAAGGTGAGGAAGAGGTGGGCATGGGGGGTTGCAAGGGAGGTGAAAAACCATCCTTGGATGCTGGGGGACTGTGAGTTAACTCGAATATGGAGGAACCTAGAACAGAAGTTCAATAAACTGATTTAACCTAAAATCAGTTAGGTCTGATACTACATCCATCCAGGTTTGTCTTAAACCTATTTCAGCCATTTTGAAAGCAGTTTATGTGCACTGAACTTCTGTTGTGTTACAGACTTGAACTAGTTTCTGATTACTTGTACCAGTTTATGTATCATTTCTGTCCCCAACCCTGAAGTCCTGATTAATGGTTTGGTTCATTAACCAAAGGATGACATCTCCCTTCCCCAGATATTTGTGACACTGCTCTGTTTGAGTTCTGTGTCAGCCTACCTGTGTTCTGTTCCACATAACAGAGGCTCGGGAGTGGCCCAGTTTATTTCTGCAGGGGCCTTTGTCATAATGTCTTAGGAAGATATCATTCTGAAAGACAAAGGAAAGCTTGTACTGAGCTGATCATAATATGGGAAGATGCCCAGGACAGAACTAGAAATACCACTTTTCCATGAGCTCTGTAATATTAACTGCTTCTGGCAAGCAAGCTCACCTGCCTGCCTGAAAAATATCAGACACACTTTTTAAGTTACTTCAGATCTTTTTGGGGGGGTGGGGAACGGAGGGGTGTTAATCTTCATTTCTCCTAATATTGCTATATTTTCTAGTCAGTTCCTTCAGATGCTTAATGGGGTGCTCATCAAAATGGAAACTCCCCACTTCCATTTTCTTCTTTCGTAATGTCTGTTAAACTATTTTATCATAATAAGATCGATAGTGTTCAGTCTTCTGCCAGACAGGTCCCCTACCATCAAAGCCTTGCATTTCCTTCCATTTCTCAACCTGTATAGCAACCTGGTTGCTATACCAGCATTCTAAAACTATGAGCACTTATATACTTGTGTTTTACAAATGCTTTATTATAACCATTTAATTGCTACACTTTGTTGGGAAATAATTTAATAGGTTTCTCTTGGGCCGATTAAATCCAGATAAGGGCATTTCTACAGACGATATGGAAATTTGACATCCTTCCAATTCAGCATAGCATTAAGCGATCGTTGCGTACTGTATGTACCCAGAGACAGCCTACGAAACAGGCTTGAAAAAACAGCATGCTTACATAAATAAATGGCCTGAACAGAAAGTTGAGCAAACCCTACTTAATGTGTTGAAAAAGGGAAGGCTCGAGAAGAGGAGGTTTCATAATTTACAAGCCATGCAGCAAAAACAAAATCCATCATTTTATCTCAAGTACTGGTACAAGGAGTTCTTTTTTTCTCACCTCCCACAAGTATTACTAGTGACTATGCCAAACTGATGCCATCACTGTACACCAATGCATTGCTTCTTTTGGACTTACTCCTACAAGGAATCCTCAAACCAAAGGGAGTTGAGTTTATTTGATCTTGTGTAGGAGATGGTTCACAAGTTGCAAATTTGGGCCATTTTTATGGTAACATGCCAACTGAGTTCAGACTCCCCATTCTTGCATGCCCTTGAGCAGTTTATATACATAATAAAATTCTAAACATGGAAAATAGTTTCTTCCACCATTAAGCTTATTAACCTCCTCAGCAAACACAGCACAAAAAACTGACTATGAAGGAGAGACTTAAAATGAACTCCACACTGACTGCATTTTGAAATTGTAGTCTTCACCTAGAACCAAGCAAAGATTTTGGATAAGTTGGTATTGGAGGCAGGGAGAAGACATCAACCACTTTTCTCTCTTTAGCTCTCGTCCCATTTATCTTTAGCTAGGACACCAACAGAGATTATCTTAGAAATGCATGGCTGGAATCTCAGCCACAAGTCCATCTCACTACACTAAGGCAGTATCCATTTTCCCCAGAAGAAGTTATCATGGACAAAGGGGCTTTGATATATTCCACTTCTCTCTTTGGCAGCAAGGAAGTGGCAGGTAATGCTGCCACCATCCCCCCACCACCAAATTTCTGGACCTATGGGGAGGCCCCTGGGCTAGATGACATGGCCTCATGCACGAGGTCTGACCCATCAGTCAGAGGCTGAGCACCACTAGTATAAACGATAGGTTTGGATAAGTGAAACAAAAACAGGTGAAGGTAAGAGAGATGGGTCAAGAAACTTATCAGAAGATAAGGGAGTGTGGGACCACTTAAATAGTAACCTCAGACTTTTTAAAATGTACTCTTTAACCATTAAAGAATCCCAGGGAATCAACATTAATATATCATTGTCCTAGAAAGAGTTGAGGAATATGGAGATGGCCTTTTGCACATGCACACATAAGACATGAACCTTGTGTTGGCAAAACTAGAATGAAAAATAAAAAGATTTTTCTACAGTTATGACTGCACAAAACTGGGATGGAAAATAATCTTCAGCTCACTTCTCCTCTCTTTTATTCTTAACCAGAAGTTGAAATACTAGCTACTGCTGAAGACTGGTCTCCATAAGTGACAAACCTGAGGAAAATTATATAATCTCTCTTAGGAATGATGACTGAGGCTAGGGATCCGGGTTTTCCATTCACTGTGGAAAAATGCGAATTTTCTCTTTTAACTGAGAAAAAATGTGGGAAACTGTGGATTTCCCCTCACAGGTTGGCAGAGTTCCAGCCTACAAGGAGCTGCTTTGGGCTGGGGGGAGCGGGGAGGGTGATTGGAGGCAAGGGGCGCCACATGCATGTGCACAGGCACATGGCAGCCAAGCAGCAGTGGAAAGCAGCTTCCTCCAAGTATGTTTATAGAGGCACAGGGCGCTCAGGGGCTCAAGAGATGCACTGGGGGAGGGGTGGGGAGGAGAGATAGGCAACATGACAGAGGGGCCAAGGCAATGTTGCAGAGAGGGCACAGGCCCCCTGAGATTTCTGCACCCACAGGTGGCCACGCGGGGCTGAAGCTGGGCCAGACCAGCTCTGGGCAGGAGCTGCCTCCACATCCCAGTGGACAGGACCCTGCGTAGGTGGCAGCACTGCTCTTGCAATGGCCAGTCTGAGGTATGTCAGCAGCAGTGGTGCAGTTGTGCCCTTGCTGTTGCAGGATGGGCAGGGGGCATCTCACCTTGGCAGCCATAGCAGCACAGTTCTCCCTCCTGTGCCAGGTCCTGCCAACTGGGCTACAGAGATGATCTGGCCCACTGCAGCCATGAGACCCACTGTAGGCACAGAAATCTTGTGGAGGCACGGCCTCCCACTCCCCAGCTGCATTGCCTGTGCCCCTTCCTGCCCCCCCCCGCCCTTCTGCACACACTGTGGGGGATGGGGATGGGGAGCACATGTCCATCATCTTAGCCCACCCCCCCAGCAAAAATAAAAGTTGGTCCTTAGGTCTCTAGGTAATCCATTCCCAGTGCTTCATCACCTTCCTAGTGAGAAAGCTTCTCCTAATATCCAACCTAAACTTCCCCTGTTGAGGAATGCAGTGCCACTAAGTAAACTGATTCCCTCAGCTGCCTGAATATAAAATGCCATTGGTGCTGTGAGCTGGAATCAAAGCTGAAGCAGAAATCAAAGCAGAATTTTTCTATTCCAGGAAGAAAAATCAGCATCCCTGCTTTTTGGAAAATTTACGTGTGGTTTGTAAGTAAATACTGTAATTCGACCTAGGCATTAAAAGAGTGCGAGGTAGCCTGAAACAAAACCTTGTAAAATTAAAGGTGCTCCCAACAAGATGATAAGATATAGAAAAAGCTTCTAGTCTTCCTTACCCACCAAAGCCAAAATATACTTTGGCCCCTCCAAGATCCACTTAGATACTAAGACATTTCTTCAAGTAAAAAAAAACAAACCCCAAAATCCAACCAAATACCCTCTTTCCTTCATATAAAGGACACAACAATGGCATAAAATGATTCTGTTTTTAACAGGCATGAGGGACTTGGCCCCTGAATTCCCCAAAATCCTTTCCTTAAGAGTGTCTAGCACGTGGAACTTACATCCAAGTTCTGTAGACAGTACCAGCAAAATGTATGCTTGCAGTTCTTACACATCATTTGAGCACAACCTTCATTTCGTTCAATATAGATCCGGCACACTGGACACTGTTTAATTGGAGCCTCTGTGTCAGTTCTGATAAGTGCTCTAAAAGAGTAAAGGAATATTTAAAAGGAGGAAATTAGAAGAATTGTGCCTGGGAGTCTCAAAGGTACAACAACGTCAAGCAGTAGGTACATCATTACATGGTCATGATCTCTAATTCACACCCAGCTCTGTGGCCTGATATGCCCTGTGCTGAGTTTCTTGATTGCGTACAGTCTTAGTCTTAATGCACTGGAAGTGTAAAGTCCAGTACGCATACTAGAATACATTAAAACATATATGACTGAGTAGAAAAAAGCAGAGTGACAAATTAAACTTTCAGTTCCATTAACCTTTCATACTACATAAAATAGGTACCCGGAAGACATATTCATAGTGCATGGCTCATATTCAGCATTAAAAGGATCAAAAGCCAAATTCAAAGGGCTGCCTGAGCTGGATGGCTAGCTGGGTACCAAGGTTAAGGCACACAGATTCTGTCTATAGTTAATGGCACTCAAGGGAGAGATGCTGCCAGAATCATGTCCAACTGCCTTCGCCCAGTCTGCATAGCCAGGTACCCATTTATAGCTGCGTCAACTGGGGACAGCTTTTGTAACAAGTCTAGAGCAGGGCTCAAATTCATGCCTCCGAAGGTATAGTAGGCTGTTGTAATTGCTCTGTCATCAAACCACAGCATTAAAAGAAATGGTCTTCTACATTATGGAAAAAAGCTTACGTAATTTATTAAAATGACTGGACTATGTATTTCAATATACTGCCCTTGCTGTTGAAGAACAAACGTGGAGATTAAAAAAAACAAAACAAAACAAAAAAAACAACAGCAACCACTTCATAGGCTGCCTTGTGTTTGATAAAGTCTCCAGGCTGATCAAACTATTTAGTTTTAACTCTTTTAGTTCTTGCAAAAATTGTAGCAATCTTTTGAGCACAACAGACAGTTTACAGATTACACCGTACATGCCACTGAGAACGTAGTCATTTCTGAAAGCACAGATAAGCTACAGACCTTACATAATGTAAAAGCAGGAACACTTAAAGTATGTCAGTTACTAAAGCACTACATAGCCATTTCCAGTACAATGAGCAGAGTGTTGCAAAAAACAACTCCTGTGCATGTGTACAAAAGATTACCGTATCAGACTTGTTTAAAATCACACAAATGAAAACATTTTACACCCACTTAATACAAAATGTAGGCCTGAACTACAAGTGCTTTTTATAGTAGTATTATTATTAAATATTATTCAACAAGGGCAATTTTTCTACTAGACTCAACATTACCACTGGTATGGAGCCGTTATATCAGTATACCAGTGTTTTGTTTTGTTTTTTTACTGTTATAGCAATGACCTCTGCAGAGTAAACAAGGCCTTAATGACACATGGATGTTCACAATGCTGGATAACCGAATCTTTCTTGAGAACCAACGGAGGTCAAAACCCTAGAAAAGCCCCCCCATAGAACATTACTCCTTAATGCAGTAATTACAGCAGCATCTGAATTAGACTGATAAACACTTGCAGATCTGTGCTGTTCTAGGAAGATGTTTCATAAAAGTAGAGGATGTGGATTCATAAGGCAAATGAGGCTTCCAACACTCATTTTGTGCCACTAGTAGAGCTGAACAATTGCAAACCTATGTTGAACTCTGTTCTTACCCATGCTCAGTTGGCATTACAATGGGTTGGTTTTCTTGGCACAAGCTTTCTGGGTGCCATGCTTCCTTGCAAGATGAACAGAACTTCAGGTGACATGCCTGGCATTCTACCGGCACTGCTTGTCCCAAATCATTCAATTCAACATAGCACACAGTCTGGCAGTCAGCATCAGGGCACCACATTCTGTTTGGATCCAGATGAACTTCTGAAATGTAATAAAGATGTGAAAACCAAGAAGTTTAAGTCCATTATATACCCCTTGTTTCACTCCAACTAACATGGATGCAGGTGTCGCGGTGGATGTAGTCTTTCTGGACTTCAGCAAGGCCTTTGACACCGTCTCTCACCCCATCCTAGTTAAAAAACTAGGTGACTGTGGCATCGATGCCTACACAGTCAGATGGATTGCAGATTGGCTGAGGGGTC